GTTGAACAAATGCAATTCCCTTTAGTGATTAAATATTGATAGAAGGCCCAAGGGTGCTCTCCAATGTAATCGTACTTCACTGCTGGATTTGAGTACCCGCTAGAATACCTTTTTGGGAGAGCACAAAACATAAATATACTGAAAGCCTAGTATCCAGGACGAGTGACGGGAGCCAAGAACTTGGGAATGAAAGCAAAAGAAGTATGCCTGAAACTACAGATGGGCGCTCCGGTGTTCTACGGTAAATAGAGTGATTAGATGGAAATAAAAATCGATATTCCATTCGAAGCGTTGGAAGTTACGGCGGGTGAGGGTTCTGTATATGGCTGGCTGAGTATGGCTGAGATGACTGTGTATGGCGTTTGGGTCAACCAGATTTATATAACTCCATGCATGAGAGTGGTGTCCGAAAAACATGACTGAGAAACGCCACGATGGCAAAGCAGAAATAATTTCGCCAGGCTATGGATGCAAGAAGCAGTGAGCAGACCGTTCAGGAAGAGATTAAGAGGAAGAGATGTAAAGGTAACAGCACGTGACCGCCATGTCCATGAAAGGAAAAAGTGTCCATGATGTCCACAAGATCTGCATGTAAAGCAGGAAGCATGGCGTGAAGAATGGTGAGAAAACATAAACAGAATTGACTGAAAAATATTCAAATCTTTTGCTTCCAATATCAGTTAACCTATGCTGATATGTGCTGTAGTGAAGCACTGAAGCGAATGAAAATTATGATTCGCATCATCGATGCCAAGTGTGTGGGTCCATCACGGGAGTATAGGCATGTAACTGCATGATATGCAAGCATGTCGATGCAACTTAAGTTCATACGCTTGTTCACAAAGACGCTGGTGCCTGCAAAACATAATAAACCGCGATTGTTGCACTTACCATGCACTATTCCCTTGAAATCAAACGAGTTCAGAACATTGGTATCTGAAAAGGTCGCAACACGTGTAGGTGAAATATGGCACGGTTTTCTTCTCCCTTACCTGGCATCCATCTTATGCTAGCGTTATGCCAATTTTCTTGTCCAACTTTGGAAAAGTTCCGGCACTTGTCAGATCATTATGAGACCAAAATCGCCAAATGTTGCACCACTACACTAATGTTTGCATGACATTACAGCATGAGACTATTTGCAAAAGTGGTGATATTTGAAATACGTACAAATGGTTTGTTTTAGTTGGGATATTTGTCTTCGGAATCAGTGGCCACAAGCAGGAAATATTCAATCTCATGTCGGCTAAAAATGATCTTAGCATGTTGATAAACCTGATGGCATATGATAACTAAAATATCACGTTTGGCATTGCTACTGAATCTATGCTCGCGTTTGCCTTTACAGATCCGTTTCTAGCGGACATATGCCTGGCTTTTAATGTTGGTTTATGGTACCTCCTTCCCCTCATCAAAACGAGGCCCTAAAATGCTCGTTTCGTCTAGTTCTTTCATTATCACTAGTCTTTAGCTGCCGGATCACATGGGCTATTTTGCAAGTAGGCTTTGGCTCGCAGTTCTCACTTATTGCTTCCAAATCCAATATACGATTAAAAGTTCCAGTCAGTTCGTCACGAATGCCACACCCTCGTTTCTGGATTCGATTAATTCACTCACAAAGCGTTTCATCCCAAATCCTGTTCGTCACGGACTCATTCTTCAACACCAGCTTGGATTGCTATTTGACAACACTCTGTCACTGAAATGCTGTCTGAGATCAAAAATATCTACATATATGCTTAAGTACGCATGCACGCTGCATAAGGTAAGCTCATCGAGTAAAGACGTAACAGTTTCTAACAATGCTTTCAGGTGAGATTCTGGCTCTTATTGGTGCCTTTGATTTTATGCTGAGTCTTGGTTGTTGCTGGATCATGATGATATTTCCAGGCTGGCTCCGGGTTCTTGTAGGATCTCTGGCAATGTTATTGGCTAAACTTTTGTGCTTAATGGATCCAGCGGCACAGTGTAAACTCTTCGTTCTTGCTGGACCCCCCGCCCCCCGCCCCCCCAGCATACTTCAGGCCATGTTTTGAATTTTTGTTGGAGTTGTTGTATCGCTCCAAAAGCAGTGTGATCAGCGAGTAGACAACAATACGACCAGAGGGTTGGCGGGCAGACCGGTCGGCAGCTCGATCGATGGTCGCCCTTGCTTGCGCCGATACCAAGAGGACACCGCTTCGGAATCGAAGAGCCGCTCCTGCAGGCCGTCGGCGGTGGGTAGCGACAGAGGCCGTGTCCCTAGGCTAGGATTTCTCGCCGCGTAGAGTGAGCCGGTCCGTCACGTCGTCCGGCGCCTTGACCAGCGCCAGGAACATGAGGCCGGGGGAGGGGGGGGGGGGCGACATTCTGTGACGTATGGACATCCGTCGCTCGGCTCGTGGCCGTCGATAGGCGTGGCGGCTCCGAGATTGTCACGTCGTTGACGAGTGGGACGATGCCCATATGCGGGTATATAGCCAGGCAGGTCCGGGGCTAGCAGCATGCCACCTCGTGTCACACGGGCCGTTACCCGCGCCGGGTGAACAGCTCGTCGATTTATCATATTCAGTATACTGAAAGTGATGTCATACTATCAAGATGGCCCAAATGGCGTTCAGTCGTATTTCATATTCTACTACATCCTATGACATCTAAAACTCAACCAAAATTATGCTTAACACCAGGCAGGACACAGATCACTGACATACTAATATTTCCTATGTATACATATATATATATATATATATATATATATATATATATATATATATACTCCCTTACTCCCACGAGACACCATCTCATTGTTAAACTCACATCTCAACCAGCACTTCTAAGCAGACGTTAACAGGTACGCCATGCTTGCGCCTACTCTGGTATATTACCCCAAACCTTACCTTAATTATCTTTATTTCCTCGGTCATAAAACGGCATCACATCACTGCGTCGGATAAGCCGTCAAAACAAATTGAGCACTTCAAATAAAAAGCGAACAGCATGGAGAGCGACAGCTTGGTTACGTCGGTCCTGCCAGCGTCATCTCTCAGGTTATCCGAAGTTTTACGTTCTAAATTAACTAGATATGTCTTATAACACCGGTATTTTGCACACAACCAGCCGAGGCAAAAAAAGAGCGTATGAGCGTTTTCCCCGATGCCGCGGAGTTAATCACCACGGCAACTCGGGTTTGACGGGGCTTAAGGCTGTGACGACACCAAATCCTCTGACCAACAGAGGCTTAGAATGATGTCTGATGTCATTTGCCCGTCCCGGTGGCTCAGTTGGTTAGGGAACCTGCCTCCCGATTCACCCACCCGTGGCGGGGTGGGTTCGACTCGCTTTAGGCGCTCGCTGCTTGCCCTTGACAGATATGGCCTGCGGCCGGTGGCAGCGGTCGCGATAAAGGTCAGTTGACGTCAGGGGGCAGGACGGACCGTGCCGAGCATCGCGGCACGTTTAACTTTCGCCACCAAATGCTGCCGTTGCCTGGAATTGCGCGATTGGATGATAGGGGTCAGGGCTCACACAAGAAGCACTGCTTAGCGTGAGCGCTGATCCCGAGATCAAATTTATTTTTAAAAATGTCCGAATGGACAGCAGGGGCTTAGAAACAGTGACGCTTTTTGTAATGCTTAAGATACCGGAGCGCCCCCGTCCCCCTGAGTGCATTCACGGGACTGATAAAGGTTCCTGTGAACAAGCACCGTCAGCCCGTGGAATCGCGTCTATGACTGATGGCACATGCGCAAACAGACACAGTATGTGACTGATACAGGCCACATAGTATGAACAAAATTCTGCCACTGTTAGCACAGATCTTGCCGGATCCGGCGTTATAAACTCATGTTTGCATGCTGGGTATAAAGATATCGTCTTTTCCATTTTGAGTTAATTCTGCTTGTCGCAGAACGTAATGAACAATTTTCACGCAGACAGAGTCGGCCAAATTTTAGCGTTATGCCCGCTATATTATGTCATCGCTGGTCTTATTCTCTTTTCTTCGGGCCCTGATCCAAGATATGTTCGCTAGTCCGGAAGGGATGGCTCTACTACCTGTGATTTTCCGGTCGTGTTTAAACAAGCGGGGGTTTTTTTCATAGTACGCTGTTGCATCAAAATATCACTAATTTAAGCGAATGCCGACAAAGTCCTCTTCGCCCGTCGCATATGGTTTCCCAGTCAGTTGTGATGTCGCCAGTTATGAGGGCTAAGCCTAAGTTTCTCGCATCGTTGAAGAATGCAAGTGCCCCCTATATCGTACAGCTTTTTCTGCTCTGTTTTTTTTTGAAAGCATGAATGGACGAATATAAAATAAATAAACAGATTGAATGGAGAGCCAACAATAATCTAAATGTGATATTGAAAGGCGTTTTATCAGTAATCTTGCGTGACCTATTACATGCAGGGGTCGAGTTTTTGCTCTCAAGTGGCTCATATGCAACATGATCACGAGTCTCTTACTGAGAGGCATGCCCATATTAAAAACGACATCATTGGATCCGTGTATTTTTTGCGCGGAACAAAAAAGAGTATTTGAGTGGAAGTCGAGCAAAGTATGACGCACCTAAATGACAAAATATTCAAAATCACCATAACAGGAAATAAGAATGCCATGAAATTGTGCCAGCTTGTTGCTTAGGAAGGGAGCGACTAAATTAGTTTCTGGAGAATATTATCGGACGGAGCATTCATTTCAATGTTGTTGGGCGGATGCATCCTTGCTTCAGGTCAAGAGCGTGCATGTATCATCCCATAGTGGTGCAGCCTGAGAGCGGCGACCCACGGACCTCAGGCTCGTGCTGCATGACTGGCCCTGTCACGACCTTAGAGCGGCGGCCTTCGGACCTCGGACGCTCGCTGCATGACTGGCCCTGTCACGACCTTAGAGCGGCGGCCTTCGGACCTCGGACGCGCGCTGCATGACTGGCCCTGTCACGACCTGAGAGTGGCGGCCTTGGGACCTCAGACGCGTGCTGCGTAGCTGGCTCTACCGAGCGTAACACCCCGATGCCTGCTTGCAGGTGTCCCCTGATGAGGGGCGGGATGGCTGCCCGCCTACTGTGGCTGTACGCTATCGGGCTTCAGGCGTCTTCCGTCTGGACAGCGCACGAGTACGGCGAGGTCTCTATCGGTGAGAAACTTCAGGCGTCTTCCGTCTGGACAGCGCACGAGTACGGCAAGGTCTGTGACGTTGAGTGCCGCTGGTCCGAGAAGTCTCCGCTGTCGCCGCCGCTGAGCCCCCGCTGCTGAACACTCTGTTGGCACGAGCCTCAGGACCGTGCAGCGTCGGAGCAGGGTGTGAGACGTTGCAGACGGGATCGTCCAATGGGTTTCCGTTTGGTCTGGCCGCTCTATCCGCTGTCTCCTTGTGTAAGCTCTTCTGGTGTTGCGCCGCTCCGCGTTCGTGTTCGTGGCGTGCTGTCACGTTGTTCTGAACTGAATTTACCTCACATCAGAATCTTGGCACCACCTCCCTTTGTCAGCTGTGGGAACGCCTTATAACTAACGGCGGGCTGAATGGTCACGGTGAAACACAGACCGGAATCAGAACTACCCAGCGTTGTAAATTACCAACATTCGAGGACACCCAGGCTACTGGTGTCCACGTGCCCTGGGATGAGTGCTTGCAGTGCCGAAGCAGGTCGATGTTGATGATGTTCTGTGAGCCTGTGTAGTGTTTGGTGTTTTATTTACAGGTCCACAGAAACTATTTCATTACATTGCAATACTACAAAAGTGTGCATTAACAATCAAACTGTCATTACAATTATCTGATCAGGGAGCCATGAAATCGGCCAAAAGCATGCGAACATAGAAATTGGCACAAGCGTTTTTTTTTTTTAGAAGCATCATGGTACAAACCAGGATGTGAGTTACATCGCAAGGTAACCAAATCCATCGCAATACAACACATTGTCGCATTTGAAAAGTCTCATGAATGTCTGCAGGAGGAGGATGGCTGCTGTGCACGCTTATTATGGACTTTTTGCACGGCGCTGACATGAACTATATGAGAAAAGGGAAAAAAACGCTGCATAGTACGAGATCAACAACGTCATATGTTTGTCATGTGATCTTGAAATCTATTCCCTGCGGTTTGATCGTCAAATCTTGACCTTTGTATGCCTTCACTTTTGTGCAGAAAGGCAGGAAACGGCTCGAGAGCCGTGAGGATTGGCGAGATACGTTGTCAATTGTTGATGTGTGTTCATTTACATGCACATTTCCCCACTACTATAGCGGGAACACCGCACTGTTCCAAAAAGCATCACTCAGCATCCTTCAACGCATTAAAATGTAATGAAAGAGCTTCAGTATCGCAACTTACAAGTTTATGAAGTGTTCTCCTTTAAGTACCATGACTTTGCAGTAGCTTCTGGCCACCCCAACAATTCCATTTTTTGTCGGAAGCTCAATGTCATAAATTTGCTTTTCACATGTGACCGATGGTGTCTTTCTGGCTCGTGATCTGGTTTCAGCATCAATCTTCTCATGGAATATATTTGGAGGCATCACCTACTGGACTCAGCTTCCATTCTAACAGCATCCTGTTTACCAAACGCCCGATAAAGATTTGTAGTGTTATATGCTATGCAATGGTGTTCTTTTCTTCGCATACCAGAGCATGAGTGCCAGGCCAAAGCGTACACAGCTGGAACTTAGAGTACAATCTGAGCAGCCGTACGCAAGCTCAGTTACCTAACTAATCATGTTAAATGAGATATACATTAATATTGTAAAGTTAGCGGGCCGCCAATATGCTTAGATAGTGGATGAAAAGAACGGTTCATCCCGTCCAGGTGTTTGTAAGCGTCCAACCAGAGATAGTTTATTTTCCTTGAGCGTGGCAAGATCGAGCAGTGTCGTATTTCGTGTTTGCTGCAGCAGCAAAGCTGGGGCCTGGCAGACGGCGCTCCGTCTGGCCACCTGCGCTGCCTGTCTTCGTCACCAGCCAGCGGCTGTTGCTCTAGCCCTGGTGCTTCCGCGGCAAGCCAGATAAACTTCCGAGCTTCCGGACAAGCAATCCTGCAGACAGATGGCGCAGGAATCGTGGATTGGAGATGTAGATAGGAAAGAGAGCGCTGATGTGGGGTGTCTTCTCATTCTGAAAGACGGGATGTACTACATCGAGGAAAGAAGGGTAACTGCTTGTCATAGCGTACGCTCTTCCATGAGTTTACGATGACACGGACAGATACTCGTAGCTTATGTCAACTAGCGACTCCCTGTATGAGTGGGAGGGGCATGAATGGACTTCACGGAGAAAGCTGTCCGCAACTCTTGTCGAACGGGTGTCTTGGCTATCTGCCGGATGGGCGGAGCCTTGTCGGCTACCTGCTCTCTGAGAAACTAAACACAGCAGAGCCTAAATAAAAACGAGAGCGTATACATTACTGATCATGGCTGTTGACAGCTACATGTACCGCAACCACTGCACCAACTTTCATGATATCGTCAGCAATCAATCCTGGCGGTCCAGTAACCCTCCCCTCTCCATTTTTCGATGCAAGGGCAAGAAAGCAGTGAAATATCATCAAATCTGTCATTTAAGTATCTTACGCCAGGAAAATACAGGCTCAAAGTACTGGAGACAGAACTGCAAAGTCCTTACCGATCAACTCAGCGTGCACTAATGACGTAGCACGTTCGAAGATCATGAGCATGGAAATGATCCAAGGTCGTAAAATGGCCCAATCCTTATATCCCATTTGCTGAGTGACACGCTTAGCAGCCATCTGGCCAATTTTCCCAACAATTCCAACAATCGGTTCAGCATGGTTATCTTTCTCGCCTTTGCATGTTTTCGTTTGGCGGTCTGGACCTTAGTCACGGCTCAACCAATGACAAGCATTGAAGCCGTCTGACGATCACAAGCTCTGAAACAACTTGATCGATTTTCACTTCTCACGACACCATCATCAATCTATTCATCATAGCCAATGTGCGTGTCCTTTTTTTCAATTTTGCGACCTTGTCATAGGTTAAGTGTCAGTAAAGGAACTAAATGCTGCGGACAATCGTGTCACCCGAAACCACCCGGGTGTGTTTCAAGAAACCTTCGCGGATAGCCACACAGACATGTGAAGATACATACATGAAACAGCACCGCTTTCGCGCCATCAGCTAAGACGGCCTCCGATTACCACACACAACATAAACATTGGTGGGTTGATAATAACTGTTAGCATAATGACTGTCTAAAACAGCAAGAGCAACGTTTTCACGACCCTGCCTGAGTTATGGAAGCCTGGTCCCATCTTTGTCCCCCAGGCCCCATCGATCACACCAAGGCGTGTTCAGACCAGATGCTCTTCGGTACGCTGGTACCGCCACCAAACATTTCCCCAGGGGCGTGAGCTAGCATTCCCACTCGCTGCGCGGTCTCCGGCACTAGGCACACCAGCGCTGTGTACTCTCTCGGAGAAGTGGCGACCTCGCAGCCCAGGAGCCGTAGCTGACAGGCCGGCGGGTGCTAGACGCTGGCTGGTGCTGCCAGTCATCGAACTCAGTGACGCTTGAAGTCACCAGAACTTTCTGCATGAACCCTCAACACTGCTATGGTGAGATGAAATGCCGCTTCGGGTCATTTGAAGGCATACAGGACATTTTTAGACACGGATAAAAGGGATTGTAGAAGCTGATCATGGTCTCCAAACGCTGCAGTAGTTCCTGCATGGGTGGGAAAGCCGACATGATATCGGATGCTTCAACGTCTGACCCGCGCTGGAACTAAGCTCGAGCCGTAGGAAGACTTACCCCTGATATCATCCAAGCCAGCCACCCAAAGACCCATCTCCCCCAACCCGCTTCCTGTTTGTTGGCGGCACGCCGCACGTGCCCTGATGACCTATGACCTGCCAGCGGACATCAGTCGGCGCCCGCGGCGTGGCTGCTGGCGCCGGCCGGTCGGTCGGCGTCGGTTTACGTTGGCCGCCTGCCGGTCGCAGGAACGCTAATGCATTGTTTATGATTCGACAAGGAGGTAAATTAGCCCCGGTGGGCCTCGGGTGGTCGTGGCCTGCCCTGTGAGGTGGGTCAGGCTCCGACCACGAATAGACACTTGGGGCAGCGGTGTCAAAACCTTGAGTTGTCGACACATGGGGTGGTGGCGGAGATGCGTAGTGGGCTTCCTTCTAGAAGTATGGCCCCGTTTGATTCATGCTACTCGTCAAGCAAGGTTTGGCTAGAGCACGTGTCATACATGCGAGTATCTTGTGATATAGGCCATGGCGTAGCACCGACGCCATGTTGGAATGCTTTGGCGTCCCTCCATGTCGCTTCCAGGATGTGGTAGTGAATGGCCCGCGAGGCCAAAGGCTTGGACCAGTTGGGCGGCAACAACGCTGGTCGTGAGTCACCTCAAGTCAGATGAAAGCTGTTTTCGATTGACCTTTGACATCTAGGCTTCTCGATGGGTATACCCTTCCAATGTGTCAGTCATAAGATCTTACTACCTGTGGAGCATCGCTCACTCTCGCCTCAGCATGTGTGCTTGCGATTTAGGGGAGAACGGCTATGGGAACGGCTCGCATTGCATTAAAATGTCCTTTCAAGATTGTAGAAGGTGGATGTGCACTAGTATTGTGATGACAGACAATTTATATATATATATATATATATATATATATATATATATATATATATATACATCTTGTGATGTCTTCGTCCAGCGGTTCGGCTCAGCTCGGTCATAAAGAGAGGGACGTGTAGCGACGCGGCGATCTGTATTGGACCGAGTCCAGTGGCGTCCTGCCCCTGCTATCCCTAGCAGACACGACATAGCATTTAGATCGGGTGAGCTACCACTCATAAGTCAGCTTGCATACACGCACCTATCACGCCTCCCGTACGGTCCGCCACGGGACGGCGGTCAGCGCCCGTGGGGGTAGACCGCATTCCACCGCGAGGCCGAGACCGCGTCGCGACACAGCAGGGGCGGCATGCTGTACCGCCGGGCCGGCTCACATCTCCCCCCCCCCTTCGGGACTGCTGGAGGAGCAGTTCTTAGATGTCGTAGCCCAGGCGGCTTGGTGTCCTTTGGCGAACGCTCCGTCGAAGAGCTGATGGCGGCGGGAGCTGAAATCGTACTCGACGATAAGGTGCTGGGCCTCTCCTTCTGATAGCGAGGTA